ACCAGCAGGACAGCACGGAGCACCGCACAGGTAAATTTCCGTAAGGACGGAGGCGGCGCTGTGACTAAGCCTATTCAACCACTGCTCAGAAGAGACTGGGGGACTGCTCAGCCCTGGAGGCCGCCTAGTCGCACAGATCGAGGGGTCTGACCCCGATGCTTTTACCCGATTCTTTAAAAGTGGCCGAGGCTCAGTCGACGAAAGTAGCTGATTCGACTTTGCACTCGAATTGGTCGCTCCTGCGAGCGATGAATGGCCTGCCTGCGCTGCTGGCCGTCGGAGGAGGCCGTCTCCGACGGCCGCGCGCGTGCTCATTGCCCGCCGCCCCCACGGCCACGACCACCTCCGCCTGGGGGCTGACGAAGGAGGGCTCTTTCTTCTCGTGCTTTTCTGGCTTGCTTCTGGATCTGCGATTCCTTCTCTAACTCCTTACTCACGTGCTCAATGAGCGTCGGGGCGCAGCACACCGTAGGATTGACATGCTCCCGTCCCTCGAACAGGTCCATCTCGTCATTCGTGATGACGGCCGAGCCGGCGACGGCGGAAGACGCGCCGGCGGTGCCGCCGCGCTCGCCCTCCCGAACCTTCTCCGCGCACTGGTACTCTATTGTCTGGAGTCGGCGTGCGATCTTCTCCATCGCCACCAAATTCGACAGGTCGAGCTGGTCCACGCTCCCCGCCGCCTCCAGGTACGAGCACAGCTGGCCGTGCTCGGCCACACCGCAGTCTGAGGCGTTGAGTCGACGGGTCGACCTCCACCAGCGGTGGTGGTCCTCTGGCCCTGCGTTGCGCCGGGACATGAAGCGGGCCACCCACTGCGCTGTCCTTGGCCCCTTCACGGGCCAGTGGTCGATCGCACTCTCATTCACGCTCTCGGCCACGTCCGCCCAGCTGCGCAGCCGCTCACCAGAGGGGGAGTACCGCACCGGCAGCACCCGCGCATCGCTGGAGGCGGCGTGGGCCGTCTTCCACTGCTCAACCTGATTCCTCGCCACCTTCTCGACCATGAGCACATCCAGCCGAGCGCGAGCGAGGCCGCGCTTCTCCACAAACACCTCTGGCTGCCCTGGGCACTCGTCTCCGACCGAGAACGTCGCATTCGACTCCGCGAACAGCCAGACCTCAGGCTCGGCCCCTGGCGGAGCCACTCCGCGGCCGGCCAGCGCCATCAGATCCTGCGCCTCCTCCATCAGCCCACGCAGCGCGGCCTGATCAGGTTCGGCACCGGCTCTGAAATTGTAAATGTTGGCACCCTGCAGGCTCGCTGGGATGCTGCCGTCCGCCCTGAAAGCCCGCACGCCTGCGATGTCGCCGTTGTTCGGGCCGTAGTCCTCCTCATACAGGTCGCTATCAGGTGTATATATGATCCACCGTGCGTCCTCAACACGCGCGAGCAGGATGCGAACGTGCCAGAGGTCATCGTCGTAACGCACCAGCACCTTACGCCCCGGGGCCAACGACGATGACACCGCCGCCGCCCCCACCGCTCCTGCCTGCCCTGCTGCCGCCACTAGCTGCGCCATCGGTCAGGCTGACCACTCGCTTGGAACTCCGAACCGAGCAGCCACGACCTAGGAGAGCTCCCACTACGAAGGCCACTGCGATGAAGCCGGCGTGCAGCACGAAATTGAACTCGTAGCGCGCTGTGCTGGTCGTTGGACCTTGCAGCTGCTGGGAGACCAGGCGCTCGAGTGCGGCGCACTCTCCACTCGCCTCGCCTGAGGCGACGCACTGGCAGACACACGGTGGACACGCCTCCTCAACCTGAGGCTGCGAAAAGAGATGGTACACCCCCGACAGAGAGTCACGTGTGAGTGTGTATAGCAACAGAGGGTCCACCTGCATATGCATCCAGGGAGCCCTCCCTTTGAGCAACACACGCTGCGGAGAGCAACATCGGCTGACGCAAGACGTGCGCGCACTAGTATATTGTCGCGCATTTGATCTCAATCCCCCCAACCTTCTTATCGCCCGCAGGGCGGTCGTATAGGTATACATCCACAATGGTTTTGACCTGGAACCCTGCAAGGCAACGCAGAAATATTCGTGAAGCGGAATGTGCACCTGAACATGGGTAGGGAGGGGGCCAGCCGGCCGCGACGACGGACGACTGCGACGACGGCAAAGCGCGCTTCTTTACACGCCTCAGTGCAACCAGCGGCTGCGGGCGGTGACACTGCAATAACTGATTGGCGCTGTCCAGTGTCGACTGCGGCGGCGATGGAGGAGGCAAGGGTCAAGTCCTAGCATTCCCCCCGCGGCAGGATGCGCAGGCGTGGTTTCAGCTCGCATCGGAATTGCCAGCCCTCGCGCCCCCCCTGGGCCCTTGGCCCCCAAGGTGCCAACCGCAGAAATATTGTATGTCGCACAAGGCGGGATGGCAGCTGATCCTGGCAGAGCTCTTGGACCAAGCCGAAGCAGACTATGCGCTGGCTCATGGTCAAGGACACGCTCAAATTCATTGTCAAATTCGCGATCAAGTCAGGGCCTTGACCATTGC